ACAAATTTTCCAATTCCAAATTAAACCGATTAGAAATTTTAATCTATATTTGTGCAATATATCAACCATTAATTAAATCCATTAAAATGCAAGACAACAAAAAAACTCTCTAAACAATACAAAATGTATAGAAATGCAAAACTAAAAGAGAAAAAAAATCACCCACACACACTGGAGGCATTAAACTTCAATCAATATTGGAAAAAAATATATAATTCTCAACCCACTTGCAGGCAAATCATAATAAAGGCAGGCAGCCATCCAGTCATCAAAACTCTATCTCTTTCACACCCACAAGTAAAAAAGCATAACCGAAAAAAAAAACATTCATCATCATCATCGGTAGAGGCAGTGGCACACTGCAGCCACAGCGACAGTGGCAGCGTGGAAAACCTGTACAAACTAAACTTGACAAAAACAACAAATCCCAATCAAAAGCCAAAAGTAAACACAACTCGGCTGTCTGTCTTGCCAACCGTCCGTCTGCGAGTGTCTGACATTCTCTACATTATTGTTTGTTATAAAAAGCCAAAAATGAATTGAGAGTTTTCTAAAATAGGGCCAAGAGAGAGAATATAATATAAACTGTATAAAACAGTTAAAAAAGGGTAAAAATTAAATATGAATGAGGGGGTTTGAAAATAACGTCAACATTGAATTAGGTTAAAGAGTTGCCAACAATTGAGAATTGTAATTTGGTTTAAAATTTTCATAAAAATTAAGTGGGATCTTGCCGATCTGTCTTATCGATTGAATGCAAAAAACAGCCGCAGGAACTAAATAAATAATTGTTAGTGGGATTGAAAAATCGTTGAAAGTGTGGATGCCGTGGCCAAAAGAATGCAACTGAATTAAAGAATATGGACTGGCTATCGGTCTTAACAACTCACCATTTCATGCACTAGCATGATGAGAAATTTCCACAAAGATCTGCGTTTATTTGCTTACAAGATCCAAATAATCTTGATCGTTTACAGTTGAATACAAAATATTTAGTATTTCTGTATGGTTTCTCAGTTTGTGACCCTTAGGAAGCCTCAATCGTTAATCTGATTTGGACAAAAAGTCATATTTTCCATCCAGGTGGCTATGGTAACAAATCAAGTTTTCACGGGGATCGGAAACCTACCTATTATTGTCGAGAAGCTAGTACAACTACCGAGAGTGAGAATTTAGTGTAGATTTGGAGGTCGAGGCATAATTTTTTATTGAAGTTATGAACTCAAATAATCTTTCGTTTTGGAAAGATGCCTCACAAGACATAAACACCATCAAACAATCAATCTATCAGTGATCCAATGATAAGTTTAGACTTTATCTTGCGTAGATTATGTTAAGACTGATACCCCAATAACTCAGAAACGATGCACATCTTATATAACAAAGCATTTAGCATGATATAATATCAACTTGTCAATTCTGTTGTGTGTAGAAAACATAAGTTCGTGTACCATACTTAGCACATGTGTTCTGGGACAAATGATTTAGTTCAGAAACCTTTTTTAAAATCGTTCAAGGTTACCATGTGAAAGCTATATATGTAACTTATATCTGTTTCATTTAGCCTTCCGAGCGTAAGTTGGGAGCGAGTCACATCGCTGTAAGTTTATATGGCGAGTGGATGTTCACGTTCTCCCTCTTAAGATTTGACACCTCATTGGCAATTCGAAGTCCTTGTTAAAGCCAGTGGTAACAGTGTTTCCAATGGGCACTTCCCCAATTTGGAAGCAGATAGCTAAGCTGTCTTATTGCGAGTTAGTGATCACTTTTTCTCTCTTAAGATTTGATTTTTTTAGCCTGTGGTGGCTAAAAAGGATACCTTCACAATTTTGAAGGAGGTAGCTTATCTTGTGTCCTTGGAATCCCTATAAGGTCTAGTGTTAAAACCCTTTTCGATTCCATCTCTTCGAATTTGAAGATAAAGGCTTAAGAGGCGAAATGCGTTGGAGTCCTGGTCGATAGATACCACTTCTTGGCAGAATTTTGACTACCAAGATGACCCATTGGTAAAAATTTAAAATTTAACACAGGAACCAGACGTATTTCTAGCATATGTATATGTCAGGTATTCAAAACATCACAAATACTCCTATACTACAAAACTGTTTTCTGTAGCGCCGACTACGTTAGTTTAAGTAGAGAGAATTATGTAAAATCGGTCCGGTTATTCGCTTCTTCACTTGAAAAGTTTGGTGACAAAAACCTTATTTCCTTGACGTAATTCTGTCAATTAATGTTCATGAGGAATGTTATATCTTGAAACACTTAAACATTGAAAAAGACATGCTCCAGATTCGATTGAATCCGATTGTCCAATTCTGTATAATGTGCTAAAAAATTCTTCACCTGAAGTATTTACTATTTCCATATGTAATACTTGATTAATTTTATTCGACCATCAAGTAAGAACAATATTACTTATAATATTGTTTTTGCCAAGTTGTGAGTATTATAGTCGATTACCTCTGGTGAGTGATTTGATGATTCACTAAAGCTTCGTATACTAGAAATCTAAACCATAGGTTATAACTTACTTTTGGCCTGACTTTACTTCAAAATGTCTGACACCATTTCAATATTATGATAAACTTCTCTTCAAGTTCAGCTTTTCTATGATCGAGTAATAATAAATATTTACTTTTAGGTTAGGTTAGGTCAATAGAAGGATGTACATATACTACATCAAATACGAAAAAATACACCGATACCATTATCGGCCTGTTGTGCGCTTGTTTTCATGGAAATGTTTATGTTATTGGTCGATGTTCAGAAATTCAGTTTCCTGGAAATTGTTCCTAAGAATTTTCTAATCATTCTTTCGTGAGGGATATTATACCCGGAATAACGCCGCTCCCAAGATATTTGCTCTCGTTTGAGTCACTCCATAGAATCTTTGTGGTGTTATTACAAGTGGCGTTATGGAATTCCCTCGCCCATACTTTTACATTCTGCCCACGTTGCGTTGCACGATATCGCTTAAATTGGCGCTTTATTTATTCTAATACAATTTACTCATTCCGTTATTGCTCGGACTTCTACCTGAAAGGTAGTGTTGTGATTATGTTGACGGTAGTATATTTCTGTTTCTGGGTCTTCTATACAGAACCTCAGGTTTGTTTTGGTACCTAGTTTAGAGCCATCAATGTAGCAACCGATTCCTACTGGTATTTGATCAAATGTTCTACTTGACCATGACATTATATATGAGATCAGTGTTTCAAAGTTCCCGACATATTCTGAGATTGGTGTGCGACTGGGCTCGTCCGATGATTGTGTATAACCTTCCATGTCACACTTTTTGCTTTGATCGTGCAAATTTGCTTTGACTTCCAAATGATTTGTTAATATGCCTTTTACATTATCGGAAATATTATACAAAGTCTATAATGTCGCAAATTCCAACAAAATTTATGTTGGACTTACATAGTTTACAGGAATACTACATTCTCATATTACAATGTCATCTCCTCCACCCCCAAATCAATATAAATAAAAAACTATCGTAATTTTAATGGCAACTCCGATTTCGGAAGGGAAAATTTGCATAACTAATACTACAAACAAAAATACACACACATATGACCAATGAAAACAGAGGTGGTCATTGCTTCATTATTGTGCCTTAGACTAACAACAACAGAAACTACCAAAACAGCCAACTAACTATAAAGTCAGCACAAATAGCAACAAAAACAACAACAATAACAATAATAAATACATAAACAAACCCAGAAAAAGGGGAGCTTCTATTACACTGAGCGAACAATCATTATCAGGTAAAGTAAATGAAGATGAAAAAAATCCTTGAATTGTTTGTTTTTTGGTGGGTACAACAATATTGGATGGATAAGAATTTAGTGAATTGATGTTTTTTTACTACTTGCCAAGTTACACATATTTTGTTATTGTTTTTTCTAAATACACAAATATGTATGTGAAGCACACACACACACCGATATTCACACTCATAAATATTCCTAAATATGTATGAAGGTATGTATGTACTTTAAAAGAGCAAAGAGAAAGGCGGGAATTCCGTAAGAAGTGAAATAAAGACCATTCAGATTTTGTATAACGGAAAGTAGATGACTAAAAATCATGAATGGCGTCGTCCGTAGGAAGTTTTTAATGCACACACTCACATAGTCTATGGGTCTATTAAGGGAGTAAAATAACAAATACTCGCTCTCTCGTTCTTGCTCTAACTACAAATAGAGCACAAAACACAAACAAATTCACAATTTCAAATAGACTAAACTAATCCGGAGAGTTGTTTTTGTATGGTGGTGAAATTGTGCTATGAAAACAACAACATTTAACACTAAAATTTTCAAACACACACACACACAGATACTTACACACACAAACACACATGTACACAAATCCGGCTACATCCATATCCGTAGCAGTATCTGTGTGTCTAGTGGTAACTTAGAGTTCCCCGAGTACAGTTGTTGTTGTCGTTGCGTGCGTGTGTGTTTTTTTTTGTATACGTTTCATTACAAAAGTGCGGGTGCTTGTAGAGATTTTCATGTATCCGTACTGACTCATGTCGAATGTTGTTTCAGTCACAGATTCAGTATCTGACGTGTTACTTGCTCGAACGCATCGTTCAACAAATATAAACACAAACACATCGTGAAAAAATAACATTTAAAAAATAAGAAAAAAATATATATTTATTACAAGAAAAAGAATCTTAAAATTTACCTCAAGAAAAAAATATTATAACAATAATATAAATAAAATAACAAATAAATATTTTAAGAAACTTGAAGAATTTCCCTGTTCGTTCGCATAGACTTTAAAATAACAAAAGTGGAAGAAAAGAAAAATATTTCTTAAGAAAATATTATGAAAATTTAAAAAGAAAAATAAATATTGCAAAAATATTCAACGAATGCAAAAAAGTGTTAAATATATTTAACTTAAAGAAAAAAAAAAACTAATAATGTTTAATTAATTTAATGCCTCAAACGAAAAAGATTGAATAATATAAAACAAATTATAAAGAGTATTGAATAAAAAAAGAAAATTTTAAATAAAACTGTGCAAATAGTGTTTCACCAACATGCATACTTTATTCACCGATCAAAATACCTTTTCACGCCATTACGCCCAAACCGCCGGCTATCCAACATCAGCAGCCACAGCCGCCGGTGCCATGACTACCGCCTCGGCAGCAGCAGCCGCTCACTATGCCTACGATCAGTATTCCCGCTATTCTTATCCAGCCTCCGCCTATGGCTTGGGAGCTCCCCATCAAAATAAGGAAATAGTTAAGCCACCCTATTCCTATATTGCTCTCATCGCCATGGCCATACAAAATTCCGGCGATAAGAAAGTTACTCTCAATGGCATCTATCAATATATTATGGAACGTTTTCCCTACTATCGTGACAATAAACAAGGTTGGCAAAATTCCATACGCCACAATCTCAGTCTAAACGAGTGCTTTGTCAAGGTGGCTCGTGACGACAAGAAACCCGGCAAGGGTTCCTACTGGACTTTGGACCCTGATTCCTATAACATGTTCGACAATGGTTCCTTTTTGCGTAGACGTCGCCGTTTCAAGAAGAAGGATGTTATGCGTGAGAAGGAGGAGGCCATGAAACGTCAGGTTATGATGAACGAGAAATTGGCCGAAATGAAGCCCTTAAAGTTAATGACTGCCAATGGCAGCATCATAGATGCCAAACATATGGCTCATGCTCATCACTTTAAGAAGGAACCGCTAAGCATGGATTTGGGCTGTTTAAGCGGTAAAGATTCTGTGGCAGCTGGTCTCAGCACTGCAGCCATGTTAAACTCCTGCCACGATAGTTTAGCGCAAATGAATCATTTGACAGCCGGTGCCGTAGATCATCCTGGTTTTACTGTGGATTCTCTTATGAATGTCTACAATCCCAGATTACATCACTCAGCTTATCCTTATCATCATGCTTTAAATGAAGAGAATCTAAGCGTGGCCGCCTCAACACAAATGCATGCTCATCATGCGGCGGCAGCTCATCATGCTCAACAATTGCGCCATCATCATCACCATCATGTGCCTAGTCATGCTCATCCTCTGACACCAGGAGGAGCCAGTCACAATGGTGTTCAATTAGGCGGCATAAGTTCTGGCACCACGACCACCACATCATCGGGCAACTCACCTACCACCATAACTACTCCTCATGGACCAGCTCATGGCGGTTGGTATACACCGGAAACACCACCATCGGAACCCATCAACAACTCTGTCAACAATAATACCCCTACCAATAACAACAACAACAATAATAATCATCACAGCAACAATAACAATCATTCTGCTGTCACTAGCAGTCCCTCCTCGATAGTGCCCGGCCATACCTCACTGGGTTTTAGGGACATGATTTTCGAACAAAATCAATCTTGTCAAATGGATACTGGTAGTCCCACGGGTAGCATACAATCGGCCAGTCCTCCAGCTCCACCAGTATCTTCTGCCGTTCCTACAAATGCTGCCGCTGCTGCTCTCATAAGTTCACATCATCATCACCACCATCATCATTTAAGCGGAAATCTAGGCAACTTGGGCAATCTAAGCAATTTGTCTCACTATAGATCTCATGTCGGTCACTATCAAGATTACGGCATTAAGTATGGCGTTTAAGTTTATTAAAGCAACTTTGCCCGCCGTCACCTGTAAATATACATAAAAAACTAGTTCTATTAAATCAACAAAATGTAGTGTAAATATTTTAATCTTCTAAGCATTTATAATTCTCATATAGTTTAATTATGAAAACAAACAAAAAAAAAAATTCCTCTCTAACAATTCTCACTCAGTAAACAACTTTTACAAAGCAAATGTGTATGTATATAAAAAAACTATAATTTAGTTAAATAGTTATTATTACTTTATTTTCTTAAAAAATATATATTTTTTGTTCTAAATCAATATTATTATTTATTTTTTTTTACAAATATTATTGAAAAGCCTGACAATTTGAAAAATATTCATAATAAAACTTTTATTAAAAAAATGCAAATTTAATGGACAATTTTAAATCAGCTGTGTATTCATCAGGAAATAGTTTTTGGTTCAAATTTTAAGTTCTGAAAAGTATACATTGCGGTAGTTATAGTACTTCATCTACTTCTGCACTCTTGGGAATTACATGCAGTATATTTAGATGTTAAATAATAAAATTGACTTTTCTTTAAAAATTATTATAATAGAAAAATTGTATATCACATTTTTTCTAGGTATAACAAATTGAAATCTTTTTATAATAAAGATACTGTTCAAAAACAAAATTGACAGATTTTGTTTTATTATATTTAGAACACTATAATTAAGATTTCAACTTATGAAATTACACATAATATCGCCGCTACATGTAAGATAAAATTTAGGTATTATAATCTAGTGGTCAGAGATACAAGCTGATACGGTTCAAATCGGCGGAAAGCCGCGCCATCTTTTGGGTCAAAAGCTAAGCCGGTTTAAACGTAGCCGCTGATAAAGATTGGAATCGTACATGTATTTCAGAAAATAATTTCACCAATTTGAACGGAGTTGCCTCTATTTTAAATTCTTATGGCAAATTGAAAAGAGTTGCCACATAATATTGTGCTAATATTAAAATAGTGAAAACTACTATAATAATGTCCATTTTCTGCAGAAAAAACTTATATAGAGACAGGTCTCTATACAGAGATTTTTCAATATAATAAACGCTTATAAGGTCAATTTCTGAAGAAAAAGTTAAATTGAGCAGACAATTTAGCCGCCGCCGATCATTTTGTATCGGCTTGTATCTCTGTATTGATTTCTTAGCCCTGTCTATATTAGATACATTTTTACGTCGGGTTAAGACTACATTTATTACTAATATAACATTGTTATGACAAAGTAGAATGTTTATAAAATTTTGTTTTTATGCAATTGGGTTTTTAAAAAAGTTTTAGTTAAATTAGTGTTTATTAATAATAGACACGGTGTTAAAACCAGTCGAAATTCCGGAATCCATTTTCTTTTACAAGAAAAAACTTTAACTTTATTTTTTATACCCTTCACCATCGTGAGAAGCTTATATAAGTTTGTAATTTCCACGATATAATTTTACAAATAAGCCATGTCCGTCTGTCTGTTGAAATCAATTTTCTGAAGACTTCAGATATCTTCGGGATTCATGTCTTCAATAAGACAGGCATACTTTCGAGAAGTTTCCTAAATAAAAATTCGTCCATAAATAATGGAGTTATGAGCAAAAATTCAAAACAACCTCTGAAAATATCATCAAAAAAGGCTTTGAAAACGGCAACGTTGTACGTAGGTTTTTTTAATATTTTTGGGGAATTATTATATTACTTTTATTATATTATATTACTATTATCACACAGAACAGGGACTATATGTTGGATAGCCGGGCGCAGGGGTTTTTTTCTCTGGGGTATATCGAATATCGTCTTTGCTATGAATTCACTCTCCATATAAAGATAGCGCTCTGCCGAAGGCCGACTGCTTAGGATATATTTACTAAGCGAAGCCGTTGTTGGACACACCGGTACAGTGAAATAGATCCCAAATGAAATCACTCACAACGGGTAAAATTAAATAACATCAAAAAAATTTCCATACGAATAGGGACTCATTCCATAAGAAATAGGCCAGAGTTTAAAACCTTTGCACACGGTCGAAAGCCGTCCGTCCAACACACTCTTCTTAATACTTTCACGCACAAAACTAAACCGCTGGGCTTTTTATGGATATGACTTCACCACACACTTTATTTTGACGTATATTGATCATTTTTGGTGAAAAATTAAAAAAGTGTTTTCGAAGGTTATCGAGAAAATTGTAAAACGATTTTGGCACACCGGTATCCCGGCGTTAAGGGAATTTAAATTATCTATGCATTCATAATAGCATTGTTCAAGTTGGCATTTATTTAATTTCTGTTGGAAATTATTTCATTGGGAATTATTTTACACAAATAAATACTAAGACTTGGGAATTATTTCATATTTTTTGAGATTTGTTTCATTGGGATCTATTTCATTTTAATTTAGGGAGTTATTTCCTCTCTTGGGACTTTTTTTCATTATTTTTATGGATTAGCACTCACTTCTACTTATTCGAGGCATTGTGTTTGTGGTCATTTTATTTAAATTTTTTTACATCGAAAGTGGCAGGAAATACTTCTGCAGGAAGTTTGTTCCACATACAAACAGAGAGCCAAAGAATGTGTCCTGCGGTCCACTTGTCAATATACCACAAATGGATGTGCTCTCGAAAAAAAAGATGTGTGTTGCGTAAATATGTACGGGTATCGGGAACAAGTTCCCTAATTTCAGAGGAACACGTTCCATTGTAATAACGATAGAACTGTGAAACACATCCCACGTTGCGACGGTGCTCTAGCGTACCTAATCGGAATCAGAATCGGAAGAACTTTACACTTTTAACGAACGACAAAAAACCTTAGCGCGAAGGCCCTGCTCGAGTAGGGCATTCTTCACCTATTTTCAACCATTTTCGCCGCATCCGAATTCAGCTAAACCTGAGGTTGTATTTCAAAAAACTAATTGATGATTACCAAAATCATCAGTTCTCAGCTCTAAAGCCTTATTTGGTGAACTGGTTATATGGGAAAATTTAAATAATCAAATATTTTCAATTCAATTCATCTTCAGTATAATATATGTATGTACATTAGTGTGATTAAAGTTTGTCATACAAAAAATTAGGCTGATTGGATAACGTTAATAGAAACATAGATTAACCCTTTAAGGCACTTGGGAACAATTTAACACCAAAGTTAAAAAATTCGAAAAAACACTCTATTTGTATTATGCTCTATATAATTAATGGAATAACAGAAATAAACCAAAAAATTATATATTAAGTAGAAAAACTTATGAATTAACCCTGTGAGACAAATTAATGGCCTGGGGAATTTGCAATAACTTTTAAAGTTTTCAAGTTTCCGAAATGATTATTCTGTGCACATTACGATTCCTTTATAATAAAGTTCAAAATTTATTACTAAATGGCCAAATTTGAGCAAAAACTGAAAAAAATCGATATTTTCCCTTTGTAAATGCACTTGAAAATTTCAAAGCCGTTGCGGCACCTGTTAACGTTATCCTATCAGCCTAATTTTTTTATGACATAGTTTTACCCAAAGAACAATTCTAGAGGGGGGACGGGCAAAATTAGCAACTTCGTTTTTTTGGAGCACTCTAATGTACATTGTGGCGTCATGAAATAACTCCCCACGAAATAACTCCCCAAAACAAAAATGAAATAACTCCCTAAAGATTTGTTCAGAAAGCAAAAACAACGAAATTTGGGGATTTAATTCGTTTTTTGGGGCATTATTTCACATTTAAAATGGGGAGGTATTTCATTATGAAATAATTCCTCAAAATTCAAAAATGAAATAAATCCCTAAAAATATTTTTGGGGAGTTATTTCATTATATTACATTTGTCACACGAAATAAATAATATATGTCTGATAGCCGGCCTTCGGCCGGGCGCAAGTATTTTATCCTCTGGGGTACATTAGACACTGGCTTCGCTAAGAATACACTCTCCTTGTATCAAAAGTGTTCGTCCTTAAGCCGGCTATTTAGGAAATCTTTATTAAGCGAAGCCGGTGTTGGTTATATTATAGAGTGGTAAATCCTTGCGCCCGGCCGCAGGCCGGCTATTAAGGGAATCTTTATTAAGCGATTAAACTGAAATGTATTAAACTTTGAAGCCCCAATCGAAAGTATGAGCGACCTACTTTTTTTAGAAATGTCACTAAGACCGACTTGTTCCATAATTTGTTATTTTTAAATGGGAACTTATTTCATTTTAAAATTAGGGATTTGTTTCATATGAAATTAATCCCCAAAAAATGGGGTGTTATTTCATTTCAATTTAGGAAGTTATTTCATTTCGTTGGGGCTTTTTTTCATTTTTAAATTGGGGAATTATTTCATAATGAAATAAGTTCCCAAATTTAGGGAGTTATTTCATTTTTGTTTTGGGGAGTTATTTCGTGGGGAGTTATTTCATGACGCCGTACATTGTACATATTATGTAATAGAAACCCTTATATCAAATTGTGCTAAATTATCTTTAAAAGTGCGAAAGTTAAATAAGTTCCCTGTTCGACCGAAATTTCAATATGTGACCCTCTCAAACTCAGAGTTCTTGATCGAAAAACTGTTGAAAAATGTGTATAAACTACTATCTAACCTTGCAATTAATATTTGAAGTAATTGAAACTTCGGTAATTATTTTTTAAACTTTTGTCCTTAAGTGAACTGCTGCTATATGTCATCATTTATTTTATAGAAGTTTAGGCACAACTTTTCAACAAGATCGGTAAATAACTCTCTTAGTTACAGTGGGTCAAAGTTTGAAATTTTTGCAAAACGTGTGTTTTCTCATATGTATATTATCTTATTGCCTATTGATTTTAGCAAATTTTGTTATAAATAGTTTAGTTAACTATTTCTTCAAAAAAATATATAAAAACTAAATTTTGAATTTTTTTTTTTGTAAAATTAAAATTAAATCTATTTAATAGAAAAATATTTGTTTGCTTTTCGAATACAAAGTACTATAAAGACGTGCCAAAATATAATATCGTTTCTTAATAACTTTCTTTCGGAATTTCTCCATCACACCAGCTTTTTCAGCTAAAGTGTTATAAAGTTTGCACAAAACTTGTTTTCAGCCATATTTGAGACGTTATAACAGCTCGAAGACATCTTTATTTATAAAACTTATTTTGTCGCCTAAAAGTCTAATCTGCGACTCTAATATAACCTG